CACTGCACATACAATATGCACTGCATATACAGTACATGTAAATTATATATATATATATATATATATATATATATATATATATATATATATATATATATATATATATATATAATTATATTTTTAACAACTTCTTCTGCAGTACTTCATTTTTTTTTTTTTTTTTTTCATGAATGCCATGTTCTTTTGGAAGCTTGTTTAAATTAAGTTAAGGGCCTTTTAGTCTTCTCCCACATGAATAGGAGTTCACTTTTTGAATAATATGAATTATATATTACTGGTGGGAGGGAGCATCAGGATTTTAGAAATGCTTAAGTGGAGCATGGCCAAGGTTGGTAATCATTGCTTTAATAAGATAAAAACTACCTATTACTTTCTTTTTCAATAGCATTTATATATGTTTACTTCATCCAGATCGTTCATTTGAATTTAGTGTTAAGAAATGTATAATTTTTAACAAATAAGTTTAAATACCTGGTAAATGTTGAATCTGCTGCTTTTTTTATTAAAAAGTTATAGAAACAAAATTAAGATAAAACTTTTATAAAAAATATATATACATTGTATACTGATATAAATCATGGTTATAGAAACAGGTTTAAAATATTTTATTCGTTAATAATGTTGCTGATTTTACAAGCTCATTGCTTCTAACATAATTTCTGAAAGAATTTCCAATGTTTAAAATATCAACTCAATTTACATCATCTCAGGAAAGTTATATTAACAACATGATTTTTATAAAAACAGTATCCCTTTTACTAAATAAAATTGAACAATCCCTTAAAATACTTTAAGTTACTTGAATTAAATCATTGCAGGGTCTGTTATTATTCAACAGAATGACATTTTTAGATATGTTAATCTTATGAAACACTCAATCTATCACATACATACGGATATCCACATAACCATAAACAAAGTTTACTTAAATCAAACTAAAATGCACACAAACAAAAGGGCATGCTGAAATTATTGACACAAACCCCTTTTCTCAAATCAGTGTTCTTATGTCTGTTCATTGAAATACTGATTTGGGGAAGTGAGTCAGGCTGAGAGCTTTTTACAACACCTTCATACTTCTCACACTAGTTATTGATACAAAATAGTACTATTTGCATGAATTTACTAAAATTTTGAAAGTTGATACAGTTAACAAGGATTAATTGATCTATCATTTCTTGCCTTTCTTTGAGAAAGACTTGACAAATATTCTCTCATTAATAACATTTTAAATTGTTTTACTCTTTCTAAAGTAATATAAAATGTTTTATTTGAATTGGTGTTGACTTAATTTAAATTTGATAGAAAATTCTAAAAGAAAACAAAAAGTTTACAGTATATTCTAGATGACAAAAGATGTAAGACATCAAATATCTGAACAATTAGAAAGCCCAAAAACTGAAAGATGATTCATTGTTTTGCACAACTTTACATCAAACTTTTGGGATTTGATTAGCACTGGATTCTGAATAATATACAAACCAAACCTGAGTTTAGCTTAATATATCAAGTTTGGTTTGACATATTTGTTAGACATCTCCATCTTTAAGATAAGGACAGTTTGACTTGGTTCTATCAATATTCTTCCAAATACATTAAAAGAAAATTGCAGACCAGTTGCCAGGAAGGAGGAGCACACCACTGAAAATAATTGCCCGACTGTGAAAATGATGTGAACTAGTTTTAGTGTACTAATTCTTATGGCCCTTATGGTTTGCTCCTTTCAAAGTACTCTGGTGATGAGCCTGAATTAAAGAAAAATATAATTTATATTTCTTGTAAGATGCTTATTTAATTTCTTTTTATTTGAGATTCTATTTTAAAATGAAAATTATTAAGAAGCTGTTTAATATTCTCAAAATATCTTGCTTCATATTATGGATGAGAAAAACTCTTCTATTCACAGTCACAGAGGTATAAATTAACTTTATTACACTTTTCTTATTGTAGCATAAACTCAAAAAAATGTTGTACTCTTAAATGAGGTTGAACTCATAATGATTCATTTTTTGTGTTTGTATTATTTCAATTTGTTTTGAATATCTTGCTACAGCATAAATTTTTAAAAAATAATTGGTTTGACAAATATGTTTACATTACCTGTGGATTATTAGTCACCAATAGTTGTATTATAGGTAAAAAGGTAATTATTTTAAAATTATTTTAACTCTAATTATTAGTTTAATCAATCTTTCCAAAAAGATTAAAATATTCAATATCTTGAACTAGAAATATGAAATACTGATTTGTAATTTGTCAAAATTGTTGTATGAATATTAAATTGAGTCACAAAATTTAATAGAAAATATATCTGTAATGTAAATACTAATATTTACCTGTCAAGTTTACAGAAAATCCTAGTAACTTAAATTAACAAGTTTTATAAATAAATGTTAACTTAAGTTCTTTAAAAAGTTCATAAGAATACCTTAAGTTTAAAAGTAGGTTTTATAATCAACAGGAAATTGAGTTTTTGCCAAACTTAGATACTCATCTTTTGAACAGAATAATTTTTGAATCTTTTAAAAATGTTATACTTAAAATAAACAATAGATGAATCACCCCCACCGAAAGGGAAAAATCATTTGATTTTGACAGAATCAATACAACTTATAATTGTGCCAAAAGTCGTCGTTACTAACCAAGTAGAAATTTAAAATTCAGCCGCTTCAAAAAAAAAAAAAAAAATGATAGGCCCATTAAAATTACCCAGTTTGAAACATAAATCAGCTTTTATTTAAATTAGGAAAACAATATCTAATTTTAACTTGGTATATTGAACAGTGCAAAAATTTATTTTACACAAAAACCTTGTACTTTGAACATGAAATTCGAAATTAGTTAAATCGTTAGATTGTGATCATGTGTTCGTTTATTAATTTGCATATGGATTTCGAAACATTCAGAACACAAATTAATAATTTACATAATTTGTCATGCTGAGCATTTTATTTTTTTTGGGGGGTGACAGACTATGGAGTTAAATTTAAAAGAAAACAAGATGACTATTTGAAACATATACGCAGAGTAATTTGGGGTGAAATACTATTCCCAGTGATCTATTTTTCTCATACGCGAAAGTAGAACGTCATTTTTTAGCTTTAGTTAAAAATTATTAACTGAAGAAATGCACCTTATTTTAGACTAAAAAATATTTATTTGGAGATCTGTGTTCATAAATTCGATTTTAAAGTGACCGACGTGAGATTATTTAAATTGATCATTCCTTTAGTAGTTAAAAAGCGAAAACGTATTTTAAGAATAGTTCACTAAGGAAGCCTTCAAACATTTTCTATCGAACATTCATTAAGTTAGAGACATATTTTGTCAAAACGAGGAAGTGCCATCATATATTTACTTATGCAGCAAATGTCAATTTTAGAATAGCAAAACCTAGAAGTGATATTATTTAAAGATACAATTATCGTATAAGATCCAAATAACAAGAGAAATAGGACTGAAATGAAGCAAAAGTGGGCATAAAGTATGTGATCAAATTTTAATATATCGTATTATGGAAACTGATCCCCGATTTAACAGATCGAGAATGAAAATAAACGGAGGAATCTACTCAACAATTTCCTCCAAAAAAAAAAAAAAAAAAAAAAAAAGTCGAAATATGGCCATATTTAGCAAAATTTGGTAAGATAGACATTTTTAATGACATTCATACACATAGGTAGTGTACACTATATATGAAACTGTGTATGAAGCTAAAAATACAAATCTCCCAATGCAATGCTCATAACGTTTATTAAATCAATTTAAAATACAAAAATTGTATTTAAAAATTACGAGTGAATATTGTAGATGGATTTTTTTTTAAAGAAAATGCCAGTATAGTAGTTGTCAAGTCAATCGGTCGGGCCTATGAGCGAGCAGCAGCGTTAAGAGAGGAACATCTCTGTCAGAGTAAAAGAAAGGTTTGAAAAATATATATCACGAAATTTTCTAGCCATTTTTTCACTTTCTTTATCTCTGCTTCTTTTTGTGTTCTTCATCTTGTCTTCCACTTCTCTTAAAGAAAGTGCCCCCACCAAAAAATAAATAATAATAGAACATATGTCAGTAGCATCATCATTAGAGAGGGAGGGAAAGAGGAATAAAAAAAAAATAAGGGAAAACACTAGAGACATTATTTGCGCTAAATGAAAAATATCATAATTGGAAGAAGATTAAGACTTTGTTTCAGTCAATAAAGGGATATAGAAAGGGGAAATATAAGGAATAATGAAGGCGCAAGAGAAAAATAAGATGGTGAGATGATGTCCTGAAAAATTGATAAAATATTGTGTAATTCGAGGCACGAAAACAGATCTACTACTATAACTGCGCCGCTGCCTGCTGCTGAGCCATTAACAAATCCGACGATTGACCAATAGTTACTAACTAACATTCATTATTCGAGAGTGTTCGGTATTGTCCGTGATGAACTCAGTCATGTGTAGTGTACAGCAACCAACCAATCAGAATTGAGTGCGTTCATCACATGGGGAGACGAATATATGAATAATTTTTCTCCGTAAGACGAGTTCGAACTCGGAAGTTTCCGTTGTTTTCTGACAAGCTGAAAGTTTTCATCAACAGCGGCCATCTTGCGTTAATTTCAGGTGATCGGAACATTTTGGAATTCTCGCAGAATACGATTCGTAGATTTGGCGACCTTGTATTTATGATCGCCAACGGGATAGATACTATCCCCAAGTAAGACTTTGCTTCGGATATAGATATAGATTTTTTTAGATTCATTGTGACTTTAGAACATAATGAATCACGTATCATCGGCTTTGTGCCCGAAGATTTATACCGAGTAAACCATGAAGGGATTGGATTTTAGTCCCTGAAAATTATGATCATCGCTAACGGAGCCATGGCTGTGGACGGGTTTGCAGCCTCAAAACCGCCATTGCATTTAAAGGATTATTATATGGAGCGAAAAGCTTGAGATCATTGCAAAACTGGAAGTGCAATAGTTAACATTTATACAGGGGAGTTATAACATGGCCGACCCCCAGCTTGTAGAAGGCCCTCCTCCAGCCAAGAGGCCAAAACTTGCGTCACCTGCTTTACCAAGTGATAGCGGAGGTGTGTGATTTTTATTATTTTTTCATTTAATTTCGATATTCTATGCCTTTTTATACTCATCTTTATTCTTTGGATTCGCGATATTTGGTTTATTATAAGCAGACGTAAATGAATACTGCCGATTGCATGCGAGTGCTTGTGTGGTGTGTTTTGTTTGTCAATTCTCTCGCTTTCTTGTATTCACTGTTTTTGTTATCATACATGCCGTCTATTGACGTGATCTAACCCAATATATTTACCTTCATATACCTATTTTTAGGTGATTCTCTCCCATTTTCCTGATTTTAAAAATATTTTACCACTAAATTATGATGACTTTAAAAGTCAACATCGCTTCTGCTATCGTCAAACTCACTATCAACACAATACAAACCCTAACACTACAAAACAATTTTAATTATTTATTTATAATTTTTCTTTCTTTATATCTGTTTTAGATGCTTTTCCCGAGTTCGATTTAAACGAAGAGTTACCAGATGAGTTAATTAGTACCAATAACTCGGCGAGCGATGGGTCCCACAATGGAACAAACGATTCATCTCAAGTTCAGCCCGGTCAAGAAGCGACAACGACGGCAACATCGCAGCAAAGGCACTCATCATCTCATCAACAGTTATCTCATCTACTGCAGCCTGCTTCTGTCTCTACTCATTCGAGCGGTAATAGTATTTCGAGTCCGCACAGCTCCCAAAACCAGGGGCCCACCACTGGACCACCAACCAATAGCAGACAGATAATTCCCAACATCAACTCCAGTGTTAGTATAAACAACACTGTGAAAAGTCCACTGTCTGCAAACCTTTCTTCCCCACCTCATGGATCGGTCAGTAAGGCCGGAACACCTTCGCCCCATGTTGTTAGCCCCGACCTGCCACTGACCAGTAGCACTAGTAGCTCATCTTTTTCATCATCTACTGTTGGTGTAACTGGCGGTGGTACTGGTGGTGGTGGTGGTGGAGGTAACACCCACTTAGGACCTTCTTCAGGAGTTGCCCTAAAATCGGTATCCTCCCAGCCGGCGCTAACTCAAAGTACTGTTAGCATTTCGCAAACTCCTCACAACAGTCATATTTTAAACGGACCACATTACTCATCTATGAGTGCGCCAGGCCCTGCTGCAAGAGATTCCACGACTAATCTGACCGCTGGAGGTCTTTCCCTACCACAAAACAATGTTATGGGTCCCACTATGAGTACACAAATTCAACTACCATCCCATTCTGTTGGACACCCGGCACTAACAGCGGCAGCTGCAGCTCAAACACCAATGATGAAGGTACGTTGGCACATTTGATTCAAAATAAATCCATTTACTTTTCTTCTTCCTTTTATGATTATATGACTAAAAGAAATCAAATCGTTGTTTAAGAATTCTGTTTTCCCACATGTGTAAATAACAAGCAGAAAACAAAACAAAAAAACTTATATATTTTTTTTACATTAGTGATATTACCAATTAGAATAACATAGTACACACCCTCCTTAATGTTCCTTTTTATCTTCTCTTTTTATTCATGTTTAGTTTAAAATAAATTGCTATTTGTGTGTCGGTAACGAAAAGTAATGTTCAAATTTCTTTCAAAATGCTGCTAAAAATGGATTTCTTTTTATATTAATGTTGAGGATACATTGATTTATGTAACAACTAAATCATATTTTAAGTGAGAATTTAAAAAAATTACTTGTTCTAAAAGATACATTTGTAATTTTTGCTTATTTTTTTTTTGTTTTCTATAGAAATTCTCTGTAAATTATGTAAACTATATAATTTTTTATTTATTTATTTTTTTTTTTGCATTTACTCTGGGTAGAAAAATCACACTTAGGTAGTTTAAATATTTTCATATTCTACTACTCCACTGCTTGTGTTAAAAGTACACTCGTATAATCAATGTCAATACGAGAGAACTTGTAGATTAGCAAATGTTTAAAACCAAAAGGTTATAGAAGTAAATATACGTGTTGATTATTTTTAAATCGTATATTCCTTTAAAGTTTTAAAAGCAAGATCAGTCATAATTTAAGACTTGTTAATATTGATCAAGAATAAAAATTAATGTTGGGCGTGCATGTCCTCAGCTTGTGTCGTTGCCTTCTGCTACTAAATACTTTTCTCCATTTTGACCAACATTGTGTTCTCTTCCTGATTCCTTTTACAAATGAGGCACACATTTTTCTGATCATAAAAATTGAATCAAAATTTATCTTTCATCTGATAATTTATTTTAATGAACAGTAATTTTCCTTCTGTTATAGAATGTTCGCCATAAGTTAATAAAAACTACGTTAAAATGGTGTTGATTAAAAACTGATTACTAACTACTGTAGTAAGTGTTTTCTCATTTTGAAGATAATCTAATCAAATATTTGTTTATGAAGACTTATAAAGTTAAATATTGATAATAAATTGGTCCAGTTTTTCTTTCTGACATTATTTCTTCTTTTTCTCTTAATTTGCTTCTAAAAATTATGCTCCTTTTAAGGTTATGTTATTCTGCACACATACAGCAATTTTGATTATTTTGGTTAATATTTAATATCAGGTTTCTTTTGATGATTTACCTGATTCCGTTCTATTCACATGTTTTAAGGTACAAGCACGGTATCTTGATTAATCAGTTTACCTTCCCTCTTACTATTTTACTAAACTGCTTGAATAATTTTGATAACAGTGTCTATTTAATCTCCGTTTTTACTTGTATTTTTTTTTTTTTTACAAATTTTTTCTTTAGTTTCTATCCATAAAATATCTGTTTAGAAATTGGTGAATGAAAAATATTTCATATTTGCTAAAATCATTCTTTTCCATTTGCTAGTTTATTCTTTTCAACATGAAACTGGTTTTCACTGTCCATTCGCCATTTTCTATCATCAGTTGCTATATATTTTATCATTTAGCAGTTGTAGAAGTTTAATAATGTTCAGTCATTGACATACACCTTATGGAGAAATAGTAAAAATAAATTGCTCTTACTTTTTTATGTAATCGAACTGTGTTTTAATACGTTTATTTGTTTATTTTTCTACTGATTGTACCATTTTTCCCATACAAATTCCTTTGGAACACGAAAATCGTGTTTATGTCGGATTTGTAATATGTCTTTCTAGTTTGTATAATAAGTTACGGTTTCTCTTCAATTAGACTAGAGAGTATTTAGTAGATTAATCAAGGCAATCATGGGAACTTCTTTTGTTTTATACAGCTTCTAACATTTTATTACACTTTTTATCAAGATCGTTTTATTTTTGATGATTACTTACTACTTCACTTTTCAAGAATACATTTAGTTTTAACTTTTTACTAGTGTTCCGTTTTTAAACTCCTTTGTCTCAATACTTTTTGTACTTAGAAAAAATCCTTTTGTTATTATTTGCAGTCTTTTATAGTGAGGGTAATTGTTTCTAGAGATTTGGATTTGAAATTCTTTATTTTTATTCATTATTTTAAAATTATTTTTGTTAAATTTTATACGTCAGTCCTTACTTCTTACCAATATGTTTTTCGAACCTTAATTTAGAATGATCGACTTTGATGTCAGTTCGTTTGAATATTTAAAAAATGTTGACCAAAGTGCACCTCAGCGAATAATGCTTTATGGCTGCTTGCTTTTTCATTGTTTAACAACTTCCTTGTGTGAATGAAGGTTTATAATCATCTTTATTTCATCTCGTTTTCTTTGTTTCTTTCATTTTTAAAATTATCAGATCTGATAACCCATGATCTTTATGAAAATGCACTTAAATAATTTCCCTGTTGCAAAAACATTTTCTGCTGACCATGTTTGCTAAACTCTATTTCAATCTTACTGGTTCCTTCTGGAAGTTTATTAATCAATCTTTTATTTATTTTACTTTATTAACCACGAATATTAAACATTTAGTAAGATTACTTATTGTTAATTATAATTATTAGTAATATTAAATATTATAGGCAATTACTGACGAAAGCTAGGTGAAGACGAATGATATGGCAAAAAAGTAGTCATTGTGTGTATATGATGTCATTAGTAACAAAATCGCTATTGTATTCACTGTCTTGAAAATTGACTCGCCATGCTTTGTTTAAGCAAAATATTTCCTGAACTCCCACTGCCCAGCAGCCTTCATCATATTAATTAAACTTTATTTTTTATTTTAATTTTAGTCTTCATAATTTTTTTAAAAAATTATGTTTATTTCTTCTTTCAATAGAAAACTAGATATTTACATTTATTATAAAACTTAATAAGAAATATTCCTTTTTTATAGCTAATTCATTTGATTAAAAAATATTCAAATATGCATCTTTTTTTTATTCATTTTTTTAAATTGACTTTTATTAGTGTTCTGATATTTATTTCGACTTAGATATTTAGGTTGTGAAATAAAATAAACAAATCCCGTTTCGGTTTATGCTACTATAAATTAACATTAAATCGCTACAATAAACTCACGCCATAATTTTTTTGTGATACTTTTTTTGAAGTAAAGACTAAAGAGAGGTTTTTACTCAGCATTTCATTAATTCATGAACTTAAAAGTATTTGAAATAATTCGACAATTTATTTATTATTGAATTTGAAAAAATGGCGTAATTTTCTATTGTTTTGAATAAAATCATCTAAGATGTATATTTTGAAATCATCTCTATAAGTACCATGACATATTTCTCCCTTTTTTATCTACATGTATTGATTCTGTAATTTCTTTTGAAAGCCGTTTACATTAATTTCTGTAAATGGAATGACCTTTCTATGTATTTTGCTTATTTTTATACAAATTGTTAAATTTTAAATTTTGTTTACTTGCAGTTTCACTTTTAGCATTTCCAATGTTAACATGATGTAGTTGAATACTCGTTGCTTATTTTACTTATTCAGATTTGATTAAAATATCAAAGGGCAGTTCTGATATTTGAAAATTTGGAAACAATATG